TCCTGCTCTCCGATGGACAGGGAATCCCACTCACGCCCAGGGTACAAGCACTTGTGCTGATGTGGGAGCTGGAAAGGCCTTGGATGCAAATGCTCACCCTTCCTGGACAGCTGGGAACAGAAGCCGGCTGCGTGCTGGGGATGGTTTTCCTGGACAGATAGGTCCAGGCCCCCACTGTGACCAGGGGTTTTTATTTGGTCCCACAGTATATCCCTGATGCAATTCAGTTTAGATCTCAGAATTGTTACAGTAATTCCAGCTAAGGGAACTGTAGTTTTCAGGTGCTTAAAGCCGTTACCAGAGACTATTCCCTGGCCACATGCGCTCATATGGCCTGTGTGTTCCTTAGGCCTTGCCTCCTGAGCTGTCTTTGTGACTCTGCCAATCCAGCCTTACCTGCCTTTGTGGACTTGAACTGAGCCAGCTAGTGACTGGGAGGCTGAGAGTGTGTTCCTTGAATTTCATGGATCTTCTGTGCCTGATTTTCCCTCAGTGCTGGCTGCGGTTCCCTTTGGAAAGGACAGCTCTTTCCCTCCTCTGCCCTGGTCCCTGGTTGCAGTGGTGGTCTGATGCCCACTGATCCCTCTGTCTTCCAGCCCACTACTGGCTCCTGCTCCTAGTGTGGACCTAGGCTTATCCAGAACAAAGCCATGACAGAGCTCTGTCCTGGAGTGCCCCATGTCCTCCCTTTTCAGTCCACATGACCTTGCATAGACGCCCCCTCCGGCCTGCTCCTTTACCTTATTGGCTAACGGCAGGTCTCTGGACAAGAAGCCTTGCAGCTCAGACCTCAGCCAGGTGTTTGCCCCCTAGGAACCCAGAGCCCTGGCACCACCTGGCTGGGCCCCCAGTGGGCTGTGTCCCTGAGAAGCCGAGGAGGCAGGAAAGCTGTGGCAAGGATGTTGACAAGCAGTCTTACACGCACTGACCTCAGAGGTTAGGACATTCTCAGAATAGCTCAGGCCCAGGGCTGTGGATGTCAAGTGTCCAGTGGGAGCTGACTCGCTGTGTATCCCCCTTGCTCTTGCCCTTGCAGTTTGTTACCCCTTTGGGCAGCTAGTCATGTAGCTCTATATCCAGGAAAGACTTGTGGAGTCCATTTGAAAATAAGTAAAGCATAGTGAAAACACCCGGTAAACAGTGGATCACAGCCGTGGAAGTCCTTCTGTGTTCTGGAACATCCTGGAATCTGGTGAGGCAGTGGGGAGACACAGGAGAGGCTTAAACAGGGTTCGGGCATGGCGCGTGGAGGGTGCCGAGCTGCCTCTGAAGCAGTTGTAGAAGACTGGCCTGGAGAAAGTTGTCCCTGGTGGGAAGTAGGCACAACGGCAGGATGATGCAGGAGCAGAAGAGGTAGAGGCTGGCTCTGCTCACAGAGGGCCTGGGGCTGGTGAAGCCACACCCTGGTCCAAAGCCCCCTCCACCCAGAACAGGGCCTGAGGCATCCTTATCAGGCAGTGGGACCACAGTCTACACGAGCTCAAGGATTCTCTGCTATCTGGCTCTCTGAATGGCAGCCAGTCATTTCTCTGGGGAATTTTTGTGAAAATGCCAGTTTTCTCTATCATAAGGTATAAGCAGAGTAGCCATGAATCTGTTCAGGAAAGCAGGCAGCTCGAAGAAAGCCCTGCTAGGTTTTGTGGACTGTGCCTTCGTGAGTAGGTAGGTGCTTCCACCAGCCCACTTGGCCCCACCTGTATGCCAGCAGATCAGGTGACCTCCCACGCTGGTGAGCACCTGGATGCTTCCGCTGCCCCCACCTCTGGCCTTGGCCCCTGCCATCCAGAGCCAGCTGTGCTGTTTGGCCCCGGCAACATGGTGGTGTTGAGCGGGGTCGTTTCCCAGTAATGACCCGTAGGACCCACCTCACACCTGTAAAGGTCACTCTACTGTCAAGAGCCAGAGACTTCACAGCTGAGAACCAAGCAATGCAGGGTAGGGAAAGGGAGGTCACGTGTTGGGTGAGGCTGGAGTCTGCCAGGCAGTGGTTTCCCGTGTGGTGAAGGGGGTAACATCAACAGAACAGTGTGAGTTTTCTCTAGTCCTGCAGATGTCTCCAGGCCTCCTGAGAACATTTGATGACCTAGGTCAGAAGCAAGGAACTTTTCTGCAACATGAATTATCCTTTTAACTTCTATACTTTCCCTCTTCGAAAATGGGAATCTACCACTTGACATCATCTAACTCCCTTTAAAAATTAGCCATTAAATGCTACAAAACAGTGGACATGATGGGTCCAGGTACTGATCAGAGTAGATTAGGAACTAGGACCTTTTAAAATAGATTCTTTTTCAAAAACTACTTCATCTTCTTCAAAAAGCAAAACCACATGGGAGATGACAACCTGGTTGGCCAGTTTATTTTCCTTTACCCTAAATGCCCCCTACCCTAATGACAGCCAAGTGCAGGAAATTTCTGAAACTAGGGATGAACCCTCAGCAGAACACAGCTGGTACGTACATCCAGGAGGTTATGGCTATGGGGTGGGGCCCAGTCTGGGAAGTGAGCGCCGCATGCACCTTCTCCCTGGCTTGGGCTTCAAGGGCAGAAGCTCCTCAGGTTTTGGAGAGGCTGTTCACAGAGATTTGAAGGAAAATGGGAAAATACTACTGTAAGTGGGAAAGAAGGCCATTGTATGAAGTGGAAATTTTACCAAAGCAGTCACTTGTGGTGGCATAGGACATACACCCAAACTTTTGGGCTAGAACATGACCCTGCCTGTCCACCTCCCTGGAGCGTTGCCTCCCTGAGACCGTGAGGACAGAAAGGGATTGACTCATGAGCCAGGTATCAGCAGAGCTTCCATGGACAAGCCTTAGTGTGAGACTAAATCATTTGCAATCACACAAATATTGACTGGCTCTCTCCTTGATAGCTCATTCTTGCTATAAAGCAAAATATCTTTGACACCTTCCTTCCCCGCTTGTCATGCAAGGCAACTGCTCTTCCACCATGCAAAACCACAAGCTGTCTTCTTCCTCTTCCTCCTCTTTCCACCAATTCCTCCCTCTCACCTCTGTATGAACCTTGGCATTTCTCCTGCCCACATATTTCCCATGCTTTGTCCTGATGCAATATCACCAAAGCTCAGGAGCTGAGCTGGAAAGGGGGGAAAGGAACAGTGAGCACTCATCCTGAGGTTGCTTCTGTGAATGAAGACACCCCGCGCCTCAGCCTTCAGCCCCAGTGCGCTTGTTCCGCAGCATGTCTTGTGGGCTCCTGGAGAGTCCATTCATGTTCCTGTCCTGCCAGGATGGCCTCCTGATTCTGTTCTTCGCCTGCCTCCAGTCTCTTTCTGACCCTTTCAGAGCTGAAATCACCCAAGCTGGAGCTCTGGGCTGGAACCCTACACAACTCCATTTTTCCTTCAGGTGGAGAGCAGGCTCCTTGGCAGCTGACCAACATGCTGTCCAGGGTGAGGCTACCTCTCCACCCTGCTTCTCTCAGTTTGGACATCAGCCAAACCAGGCTCCTTCAGCTCCCAAAATGTTCCTCGCCTTCTCAATGCTGGGTCAAGATGCCCTTCCCTTTGCTTCCATCTTCCTTTCCCCATCTCTCTAAGGCCAGCCCCCTCACACCCAGGCTTTGGTGCAAAGGGCCCCTTAAGGAAGCTTGCCCTTCTCCTGCTCTAGGCTCCCCTGCCCCCACCATCTTCCCACTGTGGGCTCCCCCATCACCTCCCCATTTCCCATCATACCCGCTATGAGCTTTCCTGACACCCGCCCTTGCTTAGTCCTGTCACTTCTTCTGTCACTCCTGGTGGATCCTGAGTCCACAAACACTGGGCTCAGCCATCTGAAAACGACAGTGCTGACCTTTCCATCTGTCCTCCAGGCAGACAAATAGAGTACTGGAAATACCAGGGCAGTTCCTGTATTCGCCAGAGAAGGTAAACACGTCTCTGGGCCAGGACCTTGTGTGCTGTTCCCAGGGTCTTCTCTCAAGGTTGCTCTGTGCTTCAGATGGGTGTTAGCAGCTGGGTCACAAGCTCTTGCCTCCCATGCAGTATGGAAGCTCCTGTGTGTCCTGTTGGCTTGTCTTTTCCATCCTGGTTAACTTTTCTGCCCTGTGACAGGTGATCAGAACAAAAGCAAAGACAGAGGTGTGAAGGGTGATTTCTCCATCTGTTGGGAATAGCTGGCTATGGTAGGGAAGGAAGAGGAGAGTAGCAGTTGGTAGAGGGGAAATTATTAACCTTCTAAAACCAAAACCCCTACCCCATTAAACAACAACTTATTTCCTCCTCGCTTTTACTTTCTGTTTCTATGAGTTCGACCACTTTAGATACCTCACCTAAGTGGCATCACACAGTACAGTACTTGTTGTTTTGTGACAAGCTGACTTCACTTAGCATAACGGCATTAAAGTTTGTCCATGTGACAGGAGTCATATTCCATCACACGAAGAGATCACACTTTGCTTATCGACTCACCCATTGGCGGACCCTCGAGTTACTTCTACCTTTAGTTATCGGTAATGCTGCTCTGAGCAGAGATGTGCAAAGACTTCTGCAAGACCCTGTTTTTATTTCTTTTTTTGTATTTCTTGGAAGAAGTTTGTGGATCCTGGCCATGGCCTTCAGCTCTGCCATGCCAAGAGCTTATGGTTTATACCCACTATTATCCACATCACGTCAGCTTATGGTTTATATCCCCTGTTGCCATCATGTGCCTCATACCCATGTATGAAATTCTGGGTTTAAAGTCAGTTATCCAATCTCTACTTCCTAAAAGGCAAAGAACTAGCATGTATTGAATGCTCATTATGTGCTATGCATGAAGTCCCCTCTTGGGAACACTGTCCACAGGCAGCTGAACCTTGAGGTCTGGAGCTGGTTCCCCAGCAGGCACGGTCAGGGCAGCATCCTCAGCATGGGGACCGCAGGGCTCCTACCACAACACATGAGCCCCTGAGCTCCAGGCCCCACCTCTGTGACTGATACACCACTGTGGGCATCCAGTGGAGCACAATCTGCTCACTCAGGTGTGCTTTCCCTCTAGGTGAGTGAGAAAATGTAGCAGATCAACAGCTGAGGCGACACCTGCCAGGAGCTTGGTGTGGACACCCCAGCCTAGACGGAGCATCTGCCCCGGGTGTCCCTCTGGCCATCCAGCCTCACCATGTCAAAGAAGGGCACAGGCAGCCGGGCCAAAGGAGACAAGGCGGAGGCTCTTGCTGCACTACAGGCCGCCAACGAGGAGCTGCGAGCCAAGCTCACGGACATCCAGATCGAGCTGCAGCAGGAGAAGAGCAAGGTGGGCCCCCAAGCTCCGACCCCTTCCCACCTTCCCTGCCTGCCCTGGGGCCAAGAGGCTCTGCTTAGAGTGTGTGTCTCCAACTCTCTACAGAGGTGTTCATGTCCCTTGCCTTGGAGGTCCCCAAAAGTTCTCAGGGTGGTTGGGAACTGACAGTTCCGGGAGGGGAGTGGCAAGTGATGGGAGATTAAGGGTCCTGCAAGCACAGGTGGCATGATGGTGGCCCCAAACTCAAGGGTGTACACAGAGAGAACCCCACCACATGGGATAGCCCTCCCACACAGGTGCATGACACAGGACTTTGGAGGCTCTGTCAAATAGCATGTCCTTGGAACTGACACTGACTTTCCCACGGAAGAGCTCATAGTGGACTTGAACTGACTAGAATGGCTCCTTTATGTGAATAAAGGAGAAGACGAGCCATGGGCTTAGTGCTTCTTCTGGTATGGAGGAACAGCACCTGTGACCATCTTTTGAGATGCTGGAGCAGGACATCTAGTGCTTTGAGGTCTTCACAGCCTGTACGAGTGGGGGGCAAGCCTCTGGGCAAGGGGGTGACTGACGGGCTTTCTCACTACCAGGCCCCTGCCCCCAAAGTTTCCCATCCCTGGCATGCCTTTTTCCCTCTCTTCTCACCCCACCTTAAAGCTCTTAGAAAGTGCATGTGAGCTTCCAAGAAGAGGGGCGGCAGAGAAAAAACATCTGGAGAGAAGGCAGCTTCAGAAAGACAGTGGATAGCCCAGGGCAGTTGTCTGTCTCTCCTGGAGGTCATGGGCTGTAGGTGGGTGGTATACCACTGTGGGCTGTAATTCTCTCCTCCTTCCTGATCAGCAAAGGTGTCTCTCATGCTGGCCAAGTGGTCAGTGGGGGAAGGAAGTCGGGTTATTCTGGGCCAACTGTTTGTCCTCTCAATGACCCAACCTTCTATTTTTAACCTCCTGGTTGCATCAAGCCAAGAGTCATGTTTTGTGATATGTGATAGTTACATGGAGCTCAGGTTTCAGTGTTCACAAGTAAAGTTGTGTTAGAACACATTTTTGTCCCCTTTTATGTGTTGTTGATTGAGTAGACTTGAGAAGCTTCATATATTTACCATCTGGCCCTTCACTGAGGAAGCTTGCTGGCCTCGCCTGAGTTCCAGCAGCTCTCTCCTGCAGTGTGAGACAAGAATGGCACCCACTTCCAGGCGGTGCTGAGGAAGAAGTGCTGGGAAGCCCTGGCGATGTGGCCTGCTCCCACTTACTAGAAGGTGGTAGGCATGGAGATGTGCATCTCTGATGGTCTCGGAGGTCTGCTGTTACTCTCTGGAGGAAATGCCCATCCAGCACCTGTTCTGTGGCAGGAGCCCGTAAAAATCACGAACAACAGCACCCAAAGACCCAGCCTCACTGCCTGGTTGAGCACGAGATCAGAGTACAAATATGTCACTTGTCCTGTACTGGGGAGTTGCTCCAGTTGGACAAATCCCACATTGCCACACAGTGGGTCACATGCAAAGCCACAGACATTTTGCTTGCCCTCTTGTCAGTCCTATTTTATAGCAAAAACAAAAAACAAAGCATAACAACAACAACAAACCCAAACAAACAAAAGAAGTGACTTGTGAAGAACTCAATTGGTAATTAAATCCTCTGTTTTATTGGGTATGTTAGTCAGTGGCTTGTCACTTTGACAAAATACCTAAGGTGGACAATTTTAGGAGGAAAGGTTTATTTTGGCTCAGAGCTTTGAATCTATAGTCATTTGACTCTGCTGCTTCTGGATCCAGAGCATCATAGCAAGGAACATGTGGTAGAACAACACAGCTTACTTTATGGAGGGCAGGAGCAGAAAGAGCAGAGAGAGATAGCCAAAAAGGGACCAGAGACAAGATGTACACTTCCAGACATGACCGGTGTTATGTTTTTGTTTGTTTATTTTTTTGTCTTTTTGAGACAGGGTCTTTCCATGCAGTTCAGGCTGTCCTTGAGCTCACTGTTTAGCCCAGGCCGGTCTCGAACTCACAACAATCCTCCTGCCTCAGCCTCCCAAGCGCTGGGATTACAGGCGTGTGCCACCACACCAGGCTTGACCTACTTCTTTGAACTAGACTCTACCTGCTATGATTTTCACCACCTCCAATGGTCCTTTCAGTTATGAGCCCATGAAAGGATTAACCCATTGAAGAGACCAGAGCCTTTGTGAGCCAATAACTTCCCGAAAGCCCCACCATTGAACATTGCTGCATAGGGGACTAAGTCTTCAACACAAAAGCCATGTGGGGATAATTTAGATCTAAACCATAACATTGGGTATGAATATATTGGCAGTGATATTTTCAATGCAAGTAAACACCATCTCCTGGAAATCACCAAGTACAGCTCTTTTTCCTACTTCTCCAGATTTTCTGTCCATCCAACCATAGCAGCATCATACATTTTTTTTTGTGTGTGCGATTTTGTCACAACACATCCATCTTGTAGTGTCCTGAAGGGTACTTTGTATGTTGATGGCATTTAGACCTTTTGATTTTCTGTGGCTACAGCAGTCCTGTCCTGTGTTTTGAACCACATGTGCAAGGGTGCATGTAGGGTGGGTGTTTGTGAGTGGAGTTGCTGGGCACTACCTGTCCATGTCTGCAGGTTGACGGTGGCTGCCCCAGGCCCAGGTGGAGCATTGAGGCCTGCAGCAGGCCCAGGTGGCTGCAGAGGGAAGCTCCCCAAGCCAGCTCTGCATGGCATCCTCACAGGGCTTGGGTGGTAGGAAAAGGGGGCTCGGCACTCTGAGGTGCTCTGTGGCCCTGGCACTTTATTGTATCTTTTCCAGTTCTCTCCTATGCTTTGCCTCCTCTTTCTGTAATCCATCCAGTGAATGAAAGATCTGAGTCTAAGTTAGCCTTTGAATCTTAACTGAGGAGAAAGAGACTGCAGAAAGTGATTTAGAATCTGTGTGCTTCTCACAGCCCTGACTGCTCACCGCTAAATGTGATGAGTTATTTTCTGCAAGGTATTTGCTTAAGGTATGGCCACGCAGGGAATAGAAAAAACATGAATTTTAAAATTACAACAGTTACTGGCAACATCGGTCTTATCAGTCCTTCAGAAGTCTTTTCTTTTGCATATGTTAAAATTAATCCTGTGATTCTGATGGCAAGACAAATTCATGTAAACGGATCTGGTTGTAGAACTGGTGCCTTCTGTCCAGTTTTCAACAGATTTCAGATGTTTCTGAAGCACACCTTGGAAGACCTAGTTCTATACCTCACAGGAGGAATTGATGGTCACCAGAGAGGCCTTGCTAGGACAGATAGATTCTTCTCTGCTGGCCTCCAACCATGCCTGGAGGGGACATGCCTCACACTAGCGCACACAAACACACACGCGCACACAGATGCCTGGACTCTGGCTGGGCCTTGGAGGCCCTCACACCTCACTGGGTGGTTAGGGCAACATGGACTCATGCACCAGCTCAGGGACTGGCAGGACACTCCATAGGGACCACTGATGTCCTGCTGTAGCCTTTCCAGCTCTAGCCTCAGGGGCCCCATGGTAAATGGGTCCAGACGTTTGTTACATGAAGGTGTCCTCTCATCTGGTAATAAAATCATGGTTTAGATATAGCAGCTGAGTTCACACCCTCTGATGTCTCTCTGTTGTAATTCTGGTCTTACACCAAGCAGGGGCTCCCATCTCTCTGCTAGGAATTCTCAGCTCATTGATACCGCAACAGCACCTTCTCCTTTTGCAGACTGCTACGTCCAGGGTGAAGAAGCCCCTGTCAAGTATGGAAAGAAGCCAAAAGCAGAGCAGCAGAAGCTAAGCATTTCAGGTTTCAGTCCAGTGGTTGATTTGTCACCAAGGAGTACTTGAGAGGTTTAACTATAAAAAATAAAACTAAGTAAAAGCAGGACTCTTCCCCAGGTACCAGCTTCCTTTGGAGATTTAAATGGGATCATCACTAACAAAGATCACCCCCGGCAAGAGGGAGGCATCTCAGAGGCAGGGAACCTCACAGGGGTGTTTCTCACAGAAATACCACAGACTGGGCTCACAGCATCTCAAAGAGCCTGAGGCATGGTTCCCTTAAAACAGAGGTAAAAATGACCACAAGGGATATCGGTCACCACATTTCCATAATGGACTTCTGGGTTTGCATAGGTCCAATTGCCCTGACCTGGCCACTGTCCTGGCCTGTGTCCCTCAGCTCAGGAATGCTCCTGAAACTGAATAAAGAGCTGATGTAAGAAGCAGAGAAAATATGCCCATCAGCAAACCTGTACTTTAGAAAGCACTTAGAAAGTCCTGCAAGATCCTGGCTGTACGTGGAACAGGAGACCTGTGTGGAGATGGCAGAACTCTGTGCCTCCCTTCCCAGTGCCCACGAGGAAACATTTGTTGAGCAGCTCTGTGGGCAGCTGCTTGTCCTGTGGAGCAGTGCAGGAGGAAGGCAAGGGGAAGGAGAGCCAGTAGGTTCTACCTCAGGTGGTGCTGAGGTCATATCTGAACATGTTGTCCTGAAGCCGAGACCCTGCCGAAGACAAGAAGAGGCAGAATGGATGGTTCCAGGTGGGAGTGAGCATGGCTGGCCTGGAGGATCATGAAGGCCAGATGGCACCAGCCTTTAGTGGGAAAGGGTAGAGAAAGGTCAGGTCAAGAGGGCTGTGCATCTGGGTGCAAGGAAGATACTAATAATGATTCTCTGGACCAGAACACTGCAGAGCAAAAGGGGCACTGTAAATAACCATGCTCAGACAACAAGGAAAACCCATCTTCCTGGGCCAGTGGAGACCTGTGGGGTCTTGCATGGGCATGGCAGGGAGCCTGGGCACACCCTAGATGCCAGCAGCCTCTGAAGTCTTTAAAGCTGGACATGGTCTGATTGATCTGATTCATTTTCATGTGTCATATATTATAAGTGTAGATATATGTTTGAATACAGTTGTTTCTCTGTGTCTGTGTGGGTCTCATCCCAGAGGGCCCCCCATCAATACCAAAATCTGTGGATTCTTAAGTCTCATAAAG